GACTTAAGATCTCTAAGTAAAATTTTGGTATTGCCTAAATAATCTTTTCCTTGAGCAATGACACATGTAGCATGTATATACATTTTAAGATGTTCTCTTTTAAGTTTGTGCTATTACAGTTTGAACCATACCAAATTCTTCAGGAATCTACCACTTATTCAATGATCTATGTTATGTAGTCCAAACTGTAAAACACATTTATGCTTTCTCTATTATCATTCTTGCATTGTGCTTAATCACTAAGAGTGTTATGTAGTTTCATATTTTGATATTTGGACACTAATCCATGTTCTTAGCGAAATTAATGCATTGGGATTTGATGACAAGTTCATCCGGACATGGGAATACTATTTTGATTACTGTGCAGCTGGTTTCAAGACAAGGACGCTCGGAGATTACCAGGTAATTCTATGTATCTGCTTACTTCCATATTTGCTGCTTTGCTCTATATCTACTTTCTGTTTACTGTTTTTGAAATTTTTAGAGTAGGAAAAGGTATTTTCATTAGCTTCAAGAATATGTTGATACACCAATAGCACTTATAAGCCAATTCAGGACTACAAGAAGCTACTCTAGTTACTGTACACCGACAATGAATACTATCTTCAAAACATAATCACATACGTGAATTCAAACAAGATACGCAGAGTAGAAATGAACTTCCTTGTATATGTAGTGGTTCTGGTATCCAGTTGACTCTGAATTTTTTGTTTTAACTTAAATCACAATGCTAGAGAGAATCCTGAACGTGGATTAATTGCTTTCTGCATGTAAACATGCCTAGAGATGTTGCTGTAATGACTTCCCCTCACATTGCAGATTGTATTTTCACGCCCAGGAAATGTGGCTGCACTTGGCAATCCATACCAAGGTTTCCCTTCGGCCTATTGATTCTTTCCCTGACTCCTTTTGGTTATCTTATCCCATTTCTTGTAAGGGGAACTGAAGAATGTTATTAGCTCTTTGCATTTTATCTGAATTGAATAAGATAATAAACTCAGGATTATGGTTCTCAGTGACTGTAGACTTTGTAGTTGCTCGGGATTATGAAAACCAATTCTTGGAGTCAGAAATTTATTGGTGTGTTTATCCTCTTGATTCCAGTACTTAAAAGATTTTACATAAGCACTCAGAACATGCAATATCCAGTGTCATTAAGAGTTTGGAATGCCTATTAACGTCATATATCGGCTAGGTCGGACTGCAGTCTGTGTCTTACCCTGAGGGTTAAAACTACAAGGATTATAAACACAATCTGAGGCAAACTGGCAAGGACCTACAAGGAAAATAATTTAAAGACGTTTTTTTTATATCATTTTTTTGTATAACTTTATATGTCATTTAAATGTTTGAGTTTTTTTATTCATTTAAAACCTTTCATATTAAATAATTTACTCGTTTAACAACATATATGAAAGTTATATATAAAAAAAAAAATAGTGGTACAAAAAACTTATCCCTTTATTACCACCTGACCTACAAAAGCATAATTCTCTGATGACCTACATAGCATTTAATTGATTCCCAAGAATAAATTTTGCAAGCAAGAAACAATCCAAGATGCGGAGATTCCCGATGTCAACGACCTGTTTGGTTGGGTAAGATTCCCAGGATTGTGCTCGAAGTGTTGCCAGTCTGATTATTTTGCTTGTATTTGGTATCCGAATAGTTTTGAAAAGTCATTTTATCCCTAAAACTCTCTCTGCCTTTGTCCCGAAAACACTTTCCAGATGAAAAATCCCAGAAAAAAAAAAAAAAAAAGAAGAAAAACTGCCCCAGTAAGTAGTTGGATAAGGGACAATAAAATGCCTAGACTGCCTTTTGAATCCTTTGTATAAGGGACTCGAAATGACAAAAATGGTGCTGCAATAATCCTGAGAAAGTTGGATAAAATTAACTTTTGGTTATAATGGTTTACTTTGTTATTGATAATTAACTATTCAATATTTGTAATCAACTATGATACTCATCACAAATGAAAAAATAACTCAATTTTCTAATTACTCACCAAGTATACCAAATGAATGTTATAAGTAATTATAATTCACAATCACTAAGTAATTAAATATTAAAGATTATAATCAATTATCTCCTCTATTATATAATCATATAATCGATTATATGACAATTTTTACTTCAAACATTTTACGGTATTTTGTTCAAATAACCCAACACAAGATTTTAAGAATACTAAACAAATTTTACAAGCCACCAAACACAAGAAAGTTACTTTCCTAAGTATAAATATCCAGTCAAAATTTTTCCTGGTAAAGTTCCTTTGCCGAGTAAAATTTGCACAGGGAAAAAAACAGGCCCTAATGTAGAATCTAGGGAGAGCACTAAAACGCTAAAAATTCTGCTTCCACGCTACCGGACAATCAGCTAAGAAAAAGTCAAAAGAAAACTATTGGTAATGAGTAATGTGGAAAAAAGTATGAGAGTGAAAGCAAGGACTATCAATATCTAGAGAAGGCACATACGCGAGATTAACATGACCGTTTGAAAAGCTTCATGGTAATATTTATCTAACAGTATGACTCCAATTATCCAGAATCTCCAAGGACTATTTTCCTGATATGATCTACTTCAATGAATAAATGGCAGCCTAAAGAGTTGGCAACAAAAAGAAATCTCCGTCTGACATTGAACAGTTTTAAGTCAACTACCCCAGGACGTTGAATTCACAGATTCAATTATATGACTAAATCCTCACAACCTGGATGAATGACAGGAAAGGTCTTGAGAAGCCAATTAAGAATTGCAAATTCGGTAGCAGTGGTTGCACCCAAGTGGAAAATGGTCTCTCAGGTTAGTTCATAACTCCCAACCGAGCATGTCCTCTTCAGTTGCATTCCTTGCTGAACATACCACCAAATGGAACAACCCACACAATGAAGCTCGGGTTCAGCCAAGAGTGGAAATGTAATATCGCCAAATTTTTTTGGAAATTTTATTAATTAAGTAAGGGATTTATTTGATAAAAAATATTATTGAGGGGTTTAATAGTCAAATTTTTAAAAATCGAGGGACTTAAAAAGAAAGGAAATTAGGATAAGGATGACTGAGTTTTTCTTTCTTTTTCCTTCTTCCTTATCTGCGCATCTGCTCTTCTTTCTTCTCCCCTGCACCCGAAAGCCCCCCAAGCCACCGACTCTCTTCCTCCTTGAAAACCCGATGAGATCTTGATGAATTTCTCTTCCTTTCTTGTTAAATCACAAGATTTGGGGCTTAGAATCTTCTCCCTCAACCCAGAAAGTCCCGAATCTGCTCTGCTCTGCTCTTCTCCCTTGTTCGTCGGCTGCTATGTGGGTGTGAGGTTTTTGGGCTTTTTTGGGTAAGATTCAGCCAAGAGTTTATCTCTTTAGCTTTGAATTTGGCTTGGGTTTACCTTGAATTGTGTTTTGGTTTTTGGATTGGGTAGCCGCGAGTTCCCCTGCGGAATTTCTTCTTCTCTGCCGCCGGCTTCTCCCCCCTGCTAGGCTCGGTTTTGCTTGCTAAGTTCTGGTATGTGACAGCTCCTTTAAGCCTAAAATTACCCATTTAATTGCTGGGTTTTGTCCATTAAGTGCTGCCCTGTGCTTGCCCGAATGTTGCTAAAAAGGGGGAGGAATTCCGATAGCATTTTAAATGTGTTTTAAGCTTGATTATGTAGAATTTAGCTTGAATTGGCTGCTGTGATGTTTTGTGTGAAAATCCCGTGTGTGTGAGTGTGGTTTTGCCAAGCTCGGTTCCTCCATTTTGTCCGTCGGAAGTTTCCTGTTGAAATGGAGGAGTTTTGGCAGCCTTAAAACATGGGTTTTAAGCTTGCTTAATGTAGAAAATTAGCTTATTATGACTGTCGTGAGATTTTGGAGAGAAACCCCCTGGAATTAGCTAGTGTTTTGGCCAATTTTGGAAGTTGGAGTTACGGTTCACATCGTGGTTACTGTTTACGTGTACTGTTCATAGGCACCGTTCACACACCGAGGGTTAACAATTAACGGGGATTTAAATGTTTAGTTTGTGATATAAGAATAAATTTGGAGATGTTCGGTTATGTGGAGATTGATAGAAATAGCACTGTGATTAGGGGTAGTGCTAATGATGATTTTACTTTGAATTTGTGGTAGTGAAGTATTAACTGTGGAATATTGTGATTAGGTTTTGATGGTTCTGTCACCGTAGCGCTTGGGTTAGCCTTCTGTTCTGTACGAGTGAGGTAAGTAAATTATGGTAAGGCCCTTTGATTTTAAAGCATGTTTTAAACTGTTTTTGAGATGGTGGCAAGTTTTAAATTGATTTTATCAGCATCTGAGTGTGATTAAACTGAAATGTAAATTGTGATGGTTTTTATGAGGATTTCATTGTTTTACTGGAATTGAGCATGATTGGAATGAAAATGAGGATTTCATTGTTTTACGGGAATTGAGCATGATTGGAATGAAAATGAGAATTTCATTACTTTCTGGAGTAGAGCATGCCTATTTGGAATTGACTGAATTGCTTTGATGAACTGAGAGTTTTGCAAATTTTGAGTTTTCTGTTAAATCCATACTCACATGGATATTTTCCGTTTATTTCTGAAATTTGGGATTTCGATTGTGAATTACGGATTTTCTGTAAATTCTGCATGGTTTTGTTTCGGATATAGTCATGATTACTGACGCCCGCTAGTGGGAGTTGTAAACGCTAACACATGTCGATATGTATTTCTGTAGAACCGGTTCACCCTGCCAATGGGGTTAAACATTGGTAATATTACTGACGCCTGCAAATAGGAGTTTGTAAACACTGGTACCATTACTGACGCTTGCCAGTGGGAGTTTGTTAAACACTGGTACCATTACTGATGCCTGTCAGTGGGAGTTTGTTAAACACTGGTACTTTTGAAACCTTGCCAATGGGGTTAAACCTTGGTTATTACTAACGCCTGTCAGTGGGAGTTTGTTAAACACTGGCCATGACTTATAATGAGACTATTGAACTAAGTTTTCTTCTGCATTAACGGTTTGTCATGAAACACTTTGTTATTGAATCGAGCTGGATTTTGCATTAACGGTTTTGTCACGAACGTTTTGCTATTGGACTGAATCTGATTTTGTTTTAACGAGTTATCATTGAAAGCTTTGTTATGCTTACATGGTTTATCCGGCATGCTTAAAAGTTTTACCCAAGGGCTATCCATATTTACTTACTGAGTTATTTCATAGTTTTCCTTGTCCATCATTTCAAGAAGCGAAACTGAGGACGGGAAAACGAGGGTAGTGACGAGTTAGAAGGCTAGCCATTTTGTAAAGTGAACATAGACTGTAAATATAGATCATGATCTTGTAAGATTGGAGTTTAATTGGAGATTTTATAAATTCATTTAATGGATTCTTAGTTTACAAGAGATTTGACCTGGTGATTTTGAGATTAAGTTATGTTGGACATAGAATTCTTTTGAGATGATTGATTTGAGTCATTGGATTGTCAGATGTGATTTGAATAAGTTTCGAGTCTTATGCCTTTGTGAGATTTTCTTACGAGTGCACGGGGTCTGTCGCGTCCTCGGATTTTTGTGAGATTTTCTTACGAGTGCACGGGATCTGTCGCGTCCTCGGATTTAAGTTCTGGGGCGTGACAGGAAACTTGACCCCATCTTTGACCTCAAGCATCTCTGTCATCCTCATGTGTCACTACCACTACGCTTACGAAGTAATATTTCACTCCTAATTTCGTTTTTTTTTTTTTAAACAATGGCACATTGGGATGGAAAATAATATGGGAATCGATGGGAAATACAAGAAAGAAAAAGAAAAATGTTCTATTAATTTTAGATGAATCACCTTAAAATCAATTAAGGATTATTTAATGGGATTAGGTTTTATGAATTAAATTTGTAAAAAATTAAATAAAAAAAATACTTTAAAACTATGCTATTTTAATAAAGTGTTATAGAAATAAGTTATTTTAAAAGTAAAACAATATTGCTCTTATTTTAAAAATAAGTTATTTTAATTTTTATTTAACTAGAAGTTTATTAAAATAATCATCTTAAAGCTTTTCTTACTTAATTTTTTGGACTATGATTGGTGCATACCTGAATTTAACACCCGGGTGTGCACACTCCA